CAACCAAGTGCAGCGTTCAGGTGCTATTTTATCAAATCATGATAATGTTAGAACAGGCAGCACGGAGGTCTGAAGTCAACAGTGAGAACTCTTGTGCATTGCAAGAAAAAAGAAGTAAGTACTAACCTGAAGTCAACAGTGAGAACTGAGGACTCCAGGACTACACTAGCCTACTTATGTATGTGTGGGAACAGCATGAGTAATGAGGATGAGTAATGCTCAGTAAGCTGCTCAGTCAGCTGATCGGTCAGCTGCTCAGTCAGCATTAGTAAGTACAACTACGTAAGTAAGAATAAAACCGGATCAATAGGTAAGCAGGAATGCAAGAATGTCACAGTCCAATCACAGACTCCAACAGATAATAGAAGTGTACCGTAAATGCTTAGCTTGAGGGACGCAACACTAAGAATGACAGAACCAGAAGAATAGGACCAGCATGTAGATTCAAGAGTGAGGTCGTAGAGGTACAGATGCAAGCTGAGATAAGTACATAAGCAGGCTGGCAGGTTTACAGATAACTGGAAAAGTAACCTCAAGAATGAACAGACTGGTGCCCGATATATTGGAGGGGCTGATGCGTGGCATGTGTTCTTGAAGCTTTACTACTATGAACATTTGGACGATGGACATCATTGCATTATATATTGATTTCTTGATACAGTGATTTCAATTACAGTACACATCTCATTGATACCAATTTTGTAAACTTGTAAATAAGATTCATCTGACACCATTTGCTCAAAGACAGCAAGTTTGCAGAGTGTGAGTGTTGGGGAAAATGGCTAAAGCCGGAGTCCAACCAGCAACCTCAGAATTACTATCTGCCGATAGTGTGCAAGGTGATAAAGCATAAAAGATTGGCTGAAGCCAGGATCAAACCGGCGACCTCAGAATTACTATCTGATGCTCTAACCAACTGAGCTATTCTGCCGATAGTGTGAAGAGAACTCCCAGAAGGACCTTCAACACAAGGAACATAATCCATACTGCAACAGTGTGCTCATCAACAATGTAATTACCCTAGGTGTTGCTGCATGTCGTCGCCTCCATGGTCAAACTACAGAGCACCGTCGTCCACAGCCGACAGAAGCCAGTGACAACAAGTTGCTCTTGAAACCAGGCAGTGTGCTCATTGTAGCCCATGATGGAGATCGCTAGTGCAGCACTTCAAATGACCAATGTTGCTTCTGTGCAGTCAGCCCACTCTGCTGTGCACTCTGGCAATCCTAGGTCTTACCATGAGGCGCTACGGAGAGCAGATGCTCATCTTTGGGAAGAAGCAGCAGTCTCAGAGATAAACTCTCTTTTGGAGAACTGCACATGAGATGTTGTTGATGCTCTCTCCCACATTCAAACCAGCAACTCTCCACATTATCCTTGCTCTTGCTGCCCAGCATGATCTCAAGCTTCGTTCCATTGATTTCTCATCTGCCTACCTGAACAGAGATCTGGAGGAGGATGTCTATATGACTCAGCCCGAAGGATTTCCTTAGGGAGATTGTGGCCAGCTCCTTAAACTGCGCAAGTCTCTCTATGGACTTAAGCAAGCTGGCTGGCAGTGGAACAAGAAGCTGAATGCGAAACTCCGGTCTATGGGCTTCCGTTGTCTCCAATCTGATCGCTTGTGCTACATCTACTCGAATGGCACTGCGTGCATCATCCTCCTCATCTACGTTGATGACGACATGATCTCTGTTGAACTCTGGTGTTTGGATCGGACGATGCTATACATATTCCTGTGTACACAGCCTTATTGCTGTTGCACATAGCCTTATTGCTGTGGCATATAGCCTTACTGCTGTGCATATTCCTATGCGCATAGCCTTACTGCTGTGTGTCTCAGACATATATATGTAGCTAGTTTACAATAGATTCTGGGCTTTTCGCCTCCCCATCTGAGACCCATCTGAGACCCGCCTTTTCGGCTACCATCTGCGACCATCTGAGTTTACCCTTCCAACAGGTTATAGGCCCCTGCTCTACCTCTGCTTCTACTTCTTCTCTCTTCATCTACAGGTGGATTCCCCCTCCACCTCTTGTTCCCTCTTCCTTGTCATGGCACCACCCACCATCACCTCCGCTTTGACTAATGTTCTCACCACTGTCGCTCCTCTTGATGCGACTAACTGGTCCAAGTTTGGGAAGGGATGGCGCATCTTCCTTCTCGGCCTTGATGCTCTCTGGGTCACCAATGACACTGGTCCAGCTGCCGACAATGCTGATCAGGTCTCCCTCGATCGGATGCTCGTGCCATACCTTTACTCCAAGGTCACTGATGACTATCAGTACTTGATTGAGGATGCCACCTCTGCTTTCGCTGCTTGGAAAGTGCTCAAGGCTCACTTCGAGAAATCGAACATGACCAACCGCTTTGTTGCTCGTGGTGAACTTCATGCCATCATGCATGACCCTTCGAAGGAGGTTTCGGTCTACATCCGGGCCATTGCTGATGCTGTGGCCAAGCTCAAGGCCATGAACGTTACCATTGACGACACCACCCACAAGGATCTCATCCTTCTCAACCTCCACCCATCCTTCCGTGCTGTCCGCACCATCCTGCTTGCTTGAGCGATGGAGCCCTCATTGGAGGACATCACCAGTCTTCTCAATGCCTCCTCTGCAGATCCTGGTATTAAGCAGGAGGACAACATTAGCGGTTTCGCTTTCCTTGCCCATGCTGGTCCCCCTCGTCGCGCTGCACCTGCAGTCACCACCACCACCTCCACGTCCCCTTTGACTGGGAAAATTGGAGCTGATGGCTTCCCAGTTGACTCCCAGGGTTCTCGCTGGTGTGATCCCACCAACAACAACTGTCATCGCTGTGGTCGCATCGGTCATATTGCCCACAAGTGCATGCATACCATGCCGTCCTTTGTCAAGGATTGGATCCTATCCAATTCTCGCACCCATCTTTCCCAGTCGGCTGCATTTGCTGTCGCTCTTGATGCTGGCCTCACTCCGGACAACTACATGGATCTTTGGGATAGGCACACTGGTGGCTCCCCTCAGGATTTGGAGCCCCTTCGCACTTAGGTGTGGTTGAATTTGGTGGGAGCTGTGTGAGATTCGGTGGGAGTTGTTTTTCATTTCTGTTTTTGTTCGTCTCGTCCTCCCAAAGGTGGGAGTGTTGAACTCTGGTGTTTGGATCGGACGATGCTATACATATTCCTGTGTACACAGCCTTATTGCTGTTGCACATAGCCTTATTGCTGTGGCATATAGCCTTACTGCTGTGCATATTCCTATGCGCATAGCCTTACTGCTGTGTGTCTCAGACATATATATGTAGCTAGTTTACAATAGATTCTGGGCTTTTCGCCTCCCCATCTGAGACCCATCTGAGACCCGCCTTTTCGGCCACCATCTGCGACCATCTGAGTTTACCCTTCCAACAATCTCTGCAAAGGAGGATGCTGAAATCGATGAGGTGATTGCCCAGCTTGGCTCTTCATTCAAAGTCAAGGATCTTGGTCTCACAGAGTGGCTGTTGGGTATCAGTACCATAGCATATATCTGTCTGCTGTAGGCTCTCTGATGTACCTTGCTACCCAAACTCGGCTGGATATCTCCTATGCTGTTGGACTGCTTGCACGCTTCAATAGCAATCTGGGCCCACTGGAAGGCTGCGAAGCATTTGTTCCACTACATCAAAGGAACACTTGACTTTCATCTCACCTACTCCAAATCATCCTCTTCACCTCACTCCTTTGTTACCTACACCAATGCAGACCATGGTGGGTGTCCCTTTCCACTACTGAAGCAGAATACATTGCTGGTGTGGATGCTGGAAAGGAGATCAAGTGGGTGTGCAATCTGCTTGGTGAATTGGGATATGAAGTGTCTGGTGCTTCCCTTCTTCACATGGACAACCAGTCTGCGATCCAGGTGTCCAAAAACCCTGAGCATCATGGTCGCATGAAGCACCTTGACTTGGCTATGTTCTGGTTGGAAAGGGCTCTATTGCAATTGAATATATGCTTACTGCAGAGCAACTTGCAGACATTCTTACTAAAACACTTCCCTGTCCTACTGTGCAGAATCTGCGCCCTAAGATGAGATTACGGGGGAGATAGGCGAGACTAGTCTCATCCTGGGGGAGTGTTGGAGTCTGTGATTAGACTTGACATTCTCGCATCCCTGCCTACACAATGATCCAGTTATTGTTGCTATGGTTATGTAGTTGTGCTTACTATACTTACATACTTGTGCTTACTACTACTGCTCACTGATGCTAAGTGAACATCACTCATCTTTCCCACATTACTCGTCCTGTTCTCACATTACTCATCACATACCTCTAATACATATATATAGTGTAGTCCTGGACTCCTCAGTTCTTACTGTTGACTTCAGGTTAGTACTTACTTACTTTTTCTTGCCAATGCACAAGAGTTCTTACTGTTGACTTCAGACCTCTGTGCTGCCTGTTTCTAACACCAGTCAGGTCTGACCTCTTGTGCATTGCAAGAAAAAAAGAAGTGAGTACTAACCTGAAGTCAACAGTGAGAACTGAGGACTCCAGGGCTTGGTGAACTACCATTGGGAAAGGAGCTGAATTGAGGTTCAAACCCAAGACCTTCTCATTACATGTGAGATGCTTTAACATGAAGGTATCCAACTGAGCTATTTTACTGATAGTGTGCAAAGAACATAATCCATACTGCAACAGCACCGCCATGTCATCTCCCAGTGGACGGCACCGCAGCTCCGGCCAAGGATGAGATGGTGAGTCTTTGCACACTATTTTTTTTTTGTTCTATTCTTATATGAAGTCAGCATTGTACAATATGCTACAACTACTAGATTCAGTATGGGAAATTGTGCTCAGCAGAGCTCATCAAGTGGTACCACAAGCAGTAAGATTATTGTCCCTTCCGCATATACATCTAATTGGTTCTGCAGTCAACATGGGCAGGTGAGCTCTTCTCACTGACAGCGAGAAAATAGACTGAGGGACTTAAGCAACCTTTATAACACCTAGGTGTTCCCTTCACACTATCAGCAGAATAGTTCAGTTGGATACCTTCGAGTTAGAGCATCTCACATGTAATGAGAAGGTTGCAGGTTCAAATCCTGCTTCAGCCATTTTCCCAACATATCTCTGATTGTATTATTTGTGCAGGTGAGGGTCCCATGAGCACAGATGTGGTACACCATGCTGCCAGCTTTGAAAGTGTACTTCAGTCTGTCTGGCAAATTTTGGGGGAGCCAAATGCCATCAGGATGATCAGTGTCTCAGGGGAGCGAGATACCAAAACCATGTGCATACCACACACCATTGACTCCTTGCTGGGCTGTTATGTGATCCTCTACAAAGCTGGAGGCACTAGTAGATAAGGTTTCCCAGTGGGAAGGGTAAACCTCTAGAGGTCATAGGTAAGGTAGAAGTGCTGGAGTCATTAGTAATATCTGGCATGACCCATAATCGTAGTTGGTAACTGCCACCTTGCTTGCTTCATTACAGCCGGTAACAGTGTTGTTGGAAGGGGAAACTCAGATGGTTGCAGATGGTAGCCGAGTCGCAGATGGGGAGGCGAAAAACCCAGAATCCATTGTACACTAGCTACATATATATGTCTGAGACACACAGCAGTAAGGCTATGCATATAGGAATATACACAGCAGTAAGGCTATGTGCCACAGCAATAAGGCTGTGTGCACAGAAATATGTATAGCATTGGTTAAACATTTCAAGTTTCTCAGTGAAAAAATTGGTGAAAAATGTCCATTATTTGTCACACTTTTTCACTGAAACCATAAGTGAAAAACTTAGAATGTTTTCACTACTTTTTCATTTTCAAGGTGAAAAAATAGAAACTAGTCAAAAAGTGCTGAAACAGTTTTAAAAATTTCACCTACTTTTTCAGTGAAAAACTTCTGTAAAATCTTGGATATTTTTCACCAATTTTTTCACCGAAAAACATTACTCAACCAGTGTAGCAGCATCCGATCCAAACACCAGAGTTCAACAAATAGTCCCAAGAGCTTAAGGGGTGTTTTTGTTGAAGCTCAGAGGTCACCTGGTCTATGACATCAACTGATACAGATCTCCCTCTTATTATTGTCCCGATATTGATCAGCCTCTTATTGTTCTTATTGTCTTCACTGATACTGATCTTCCTTTAGTGTTCTTATCGTCTTGTCCATTTCTATTGTTCTAGCTAGTATATAGGTAGCTACAGTGGAATGGATCCTGGTTTTTCGCCAGACCTGCCTTTTCAGCTATCATCTGCGATCATCTGAGTTTCCCGTTCCAACAGCTTTTGGTGGAACTCATCAAGGATACTACCAGCATTATCTTTTAGATGTTCAACCGGTTCCCAGCTATTTTCCTCCTTTGGATATCCTTTCCAATGCACAAAGTATTCAAACTTCCCCCTCCTAAGCCTCAAATCCAACACTTCTTCCATTTCATACTCTTCATGATCATCAACAAGTTCAGGCGCCGGCACAGGGGGTTCTTTCTGGGAGGGGAATTTTGGGGCGGTGAAAGGAGATAGGAGACTCTCATTGAAGACATGATGTTTGCATTTCCAAGAGGGAAGGAGGTACTGCCTTGTATCTGATGGCATCGCTACGCTTCTGATCATAGAACCGCTTCATCGTCTCTGCAGCTGCTTTTAAAGACGACTCTGCTTCCTCCCTGATCTTCTTCATGCTCTTGGCAAATGCTTCAGCATTAGGTGTGCACACAGTTCCTTTGGGCTCAATCTCTTTCTTTCCATGGATGCTGTCCATAGTTCAGGAAGAATGGAGAGTGCCCAGTAGCGGTGTGGATCTTATCATTGTAAGAAAATTTGGCAATGACAAGCCATTCTGCCTAGTCATCCTGGCAATGGTTGACAAAGATCCTGAGGAACTGCTCCAAGTCCTGGTTAACATGCTCTATCTGCCCACCGGTTTGTGGGTAGTACACAGTAAAGATGTTCTGCTTAATACCTAGGAGCTGGCACAAGTCTTTGCTGAATTACGACGCAAACTGAATTCCCTTGATCACTCTGAGAGCCCATGATCTCTGAATCCCAATAATGCTTTGCCTATCTAAGTGAGTTGATCTCTGAGTTGACTGCCTAGAACTTGGCAGCTTTGATCAAGCAATCAATAGGATCATGTCAAAGTCATTCAATGAGACAATGGAAGTGAACTGATCAAATTAATGATGACAATCTGCCGTGGCTGAGTTGGAATTGCATTCAGGGACAAAGGTGCAGGAGGTGCCTTTTTGAAGCATCCAGGATGTCCTGCAAGACTTGTGCTGTGGTGCAAGCGAATGATGTCATCCTGTAGCTTCTTATCTCTGGGAACATAGAACCGCTCCTTCCAAGTCACAATACCCTTTGAGCTCCTGCCACTCCTCATCCTTATTTGTCAGGGCACAACCAGCTTGTCTTTGACTGGACGCTTGATCCGAGCCATAATCTCATTGCCAATAGCACAGGTGTCATGATGATGAACTTGTTACAGTATGGATTATGTTCCTTGCACACTATCGGCAGAATAGCTCAGTTGATTAGAGCGTCAGATAGTAATTCTGAGGTCGCCAGTTCGATCCAGCTTCAGCCATTTTTCCAACAAGCTGCGCTCTGCACCAATTCGATGTGCCCAGTAACACAGACCTTTGCCATCACTGTCCTCGACACTCTAATTGACCCCATTTACCTCACACACAGCGACAATCCATGCTACAGGAGCTTTGGAGACCAATCCCCCATGGGAAAGGCCCGCCCCCTGTACCAACTCGACTCACCCAGCACCAAAGACCTTTGTCGTGAGGGGGACAAGCTCACTTGGATCATCTCCCTATGGGGGACGCACACCACAGCGACTCACAGTCACCATGCGAGCTCTGGCAGTGTGACCAGGGACTATTCACACCTGTATCTGACAGGGAAACAAATCCCCAGCAAGTAGACTTGCATCTATAGACATCTCGGGCTCATTTGCACCTCATACTGACAGCCTGTGAGAGGATTCAGCCTTTCTGGGTGCGAACCTGAAATAAGGGTTGCTCTCTTAGCCAAATTCAGGGTTCGTCTCTCCAGAGAACGGCCTTCCCACCCGGGATACAATCAAATGTCTGAAAACATTGGTTCTATTTCTCGTACCCACCAGGGATTTGGTTTCCCAATGACATGTGGACATTCTGGAAGGAGGGAACACATCAAGGGGTGACCACTAAAAAAACCCATTAAATCCGACTCCTACTATGTTCTACTATTTGGTTATTGATTACACATGATCGGGCTGATCAGGGTGACCACGGCGATCAATCCTGGATCAATTTCATCAATTCTCGTCCGTGCTCGCATTTTTAGATATATTTCTTGTACTGCACAGTGTCAGGTCCTTGATTTCACCTACCGTTGTTCTACCTCAACCTATCTACATATTTCATGCATATACATATCAAAAACACATATAACTACTGTAATTGAAGCTGGACCGACTAAAATATAATTAACCACTCCAGGATTGTACTCGAGCTCCCTGCAGCTTTTTTGAGACATGCTGGTCTGAGTCTGAAACTTCAGATGCGGTTGAAGTTGGGGATCTTCTCTGCTTTTCATGCACATCATCTGATCCTGGCAGCATATCAATTGCATCACTGTCAGGGACTTGGAATTTTTTTCTCCAGCTTGCTGTACGAGCTTCATCAATTCCCAGGGCATCCTCTTTAGACTGTCAAATAAAGATCTCTTTCATGAAGCTGGGATGAATTGGTGGTAGGGTGTTGTTGTCGGGCAATGCATGCTCCTCAACAATATGGTACATTGCACTATATCTCCAGATTGTTTGTGGTTCCCTAGACACCCAGTTTCATAGACATAATGCACAATGAATAGGGACATTGGTGGATGGAGAAGTCTTTGCTGCTTTATAGTTGATTCCTGAATAATGGTAGTGGCAACTTGACTGGATTGACAGTGGTTTCTTTGGATGCTTTGCATTGACCAGCTGTGTAAAGCATCCATCCAGACTGCAAAAGCCACACAACTCCAAACCAACAGAGTTATCTAGTCCCTCTTCTTTATGCCTCGAAGAGCTAGCAGTATATGCTGGGCAACATGATGGCACACCGTGTTGAGCTTTGTTGTGCACCACAAATAAGGCAATTGATGTTATCTTTGAAACGGAGCTTGGACTGTGTTAAATGTTCTGGGACCTCATTCACAATCATACATGCTTTACCTAGACTCCGTCTAAGTATTATCAAACTGTTGGTGGAATGCCAGGAACAGCAATCTGCCCAATGCCCAAGCCATCAGTCAGCATCGGTCAGCGGATCACTAATGTAGACTACTGCCAATTTATGTAGAATATTCTAGTTTACCTACCTTTGAAGTATATAAGCTGGGGGTAGCAGGCCAATCTCTTCAGGAGATTGTAACCCAAAGCCTAACAGCTCAGTGCAATCTATTTAGCTTCTATTCATTTTCCCAACACAAACAGATGTGAATACTAGACTCACCAAGAGCATCATGGTATGGCAAATAATCTGGATTCACTACTTGTGAAAGTTGTGCAACGTTAACTGCTATATGCGGTCCGTTGGGCTCCAGTGAAAGGCATGCATTGCATAGGATCTCCATAAGTTTGGCAGTGGGCATAGACCAAGTGGGAAGATCGACTCCAGTTGAACCAGTGCATTTGGAAACTGAAGGACCCAGTAGATGAATAAGAACACCTGGAATATCCAGAACAAACAGCTGTCTGGTTTCACGTTCCACCTTTGCAGCTACATCAAGACACAGGTAATTGTCTGTCCACTCCCAGAATTTGGCTGGTTAGAGGTTATCTCCTGTGTTTTGTGGATTACACATCTCCAGTGCCTGAGCAACAACTTTGGCCTTGGATTCCGGATCTTGAATTTCCGACAATGATGCTGCTGTTCAGATGGATTTATTTGTGCCAATCCTGATTCCTTTGACCATCAGGATTCCCAGACAGATCTGTCCCTCTGTATGAAGCAATGTGACAACCAAATCTCCTGACTTCAAAAGATCATCCTTGCTCAGATCTGCAGGATCGAAGACTTCACTTTTTCTACCCTGTAGATCCTCCAGTGCAGCACCACGGACCCGCAG